GCCGGGCGCCTCGCAGCCTCCCTTTGGCTGCCGGGCTGTCCGACGCCGGTTCCTTTACGCCCTCTGCCAGCAGCTCCGGTCTGGAAAACAGCGAGAAGCAGAGGGCACACGCATGAGCTCCCCAGCCAGCGACACCCCGCTGCTCCAGCATCCCCTGGGACAGGGCTCCTACAGCCACTAACCACTAACTGCGTCTGGCTGATGCCATTTTAATGCAGCGGGGGAACTTTGGAAGTAATTTTCATCCCAATGGACTCTTCAGTGAGCCGATGTGACGCTCCCTGAGACGAGATTAAGCTGGCGATGGCTGAGCGGCTTAAATCAGCAGTTACAGACTTTTAGGAGATATGTTCCTGCACGTTTCTCAGGCATGGGAGAAGCTGTGCACGGCTCCTTTCAATGTACAATTGGCCCCCAAAATTGTCACTTGGGTATCTAATGCTAAAACCACACAGCAAGGTGATAGCAGGGCTCGTGACAAGCTGCACTGAAGCTGCGACACAGAGAAATGAGTCTGAGATGGGGTTGGGAGAAACCCCAAAGTGTGGTCGGGCTGGCCTGGGAGCTGCTGGTCTTACACCACAAAATCTCCACAGTTCCAACGTTTATTTTCTGTTTCAGCCACGTGCCGTGTTGGTTACAGCAGCTCTTTCCTTTGCAAGGGAGGCTGAGAAACCCCTCAAAGTACCTAAAGACATTTTTAAACCCATCTCTGCTAGATCCATTCCCTCTTTCAGGGCAATGCTATTGGTGTTATGTTGGCCACGGCATCTCACAGCCTCCCCCAGCTCCTGTGACACCCCTTGCTCCTAGTGCAAGGACAGCATCTTCCCTGATGTCTGCAGCACCCCATGTGCACATCCGGACCTCATCTGGAGATGCTTCCCATAGGAAAACCCTCCGGGGCTCCCAACGCCTCTCCTTGCCCCATGCCTGGGCACCCTGAAGGTTAAAGGCTCTGGCTCCTTCACCCACCCTTGGGTGATCCCTGCTGCTGCGGCCAAACCTTTGCAAAAGCGAGTTAAAAACCCAAAAGTCATCGAGGGAGCGATGACAACAACACTGCTGCCTCTCGGGGATGGCCCCAATAAGGCAACCACCCTTGGCTGCTTCTAATCAAGCAAATTTATTGAAGTTGACCAAGTGATGGATGTTCCCCAGGACACTGCACAGCAGCCAGAGCTCCGAGCAGCAACATCCTCCCCAAGGGATGGCTGCTCCACCTGCCTTACCTTTTAATAACAAACTGGATGTTGTTGCTCGCTTGCAGGATCTTCTTGAGCTTGGCAATCCCGAAGCAGTTGGGGCGCCGCAGCAGGATGCCTTCTGGCAAGCCCACAACGAACAGGTCCTCGGGGTACATCAGGAACTTGGAGTAGGGAACTTTGACCGGCTCTGATATTCCTACGGCTTTTGCTGCGTGGGGACCAAATCTCATTAGTTTGCTGGACCTCCACGTCGGGTCAAAGCAGGAGCGACACGATATGTTCGCAGGGTGTTGAAGAGGTTTTTGGAGAGTTTGCTGTCACTGTGCCTGGTGGGGTTGTCCCTGGTGGGGGTGTTCCTGACACTGGCAGACACGAGATGAGGGATCGAGCCAGGCAGCCACCCCACCTCCAGACCTCCATGGATGTCCCTCTGCTAGATGAGTGGACAGGCAACGTGCCATGCTGGGGGTGCCCTGCCAGCCTGTGCAGCCCAGCACGGCAAGGGCTCCCCTTCCTCCGCTAAATATTGCCAAAAAGCAACCAAACAGCCAGTGCCAAGCAGTGCTGTTTGGCCAAAGGTGTAAACCCAGGACAAAAGCCCACGAGTGCGGGCAAGGTCTCCCAGGCCGTTACTAAAGCATGGGCTGGATGTAGGGCCATCGCTCTGCCGGCTGTTCCAGCTGCATCCCCAGTGCCCAACCCCGCCTGAGAGCATCCCAGCCCTCCTCCTTCCCACCAGTCGCGATGGGCTCTGCGAGCCCAGGGGCTGCAGCTCAGCTCTGCCCCTGGCTTTCAGGGACTGCTGGGCAGAGCCACATCTCCTGGTCCTGCTAATGGCAAAAATTTTTCTGCCAGCTCTGAAAACGCACGTGTGACCTCCCTTGTATTTTTTCTGGGTGAAATAACCTTTCTAAAAATGGATGAGCAGAGCATGCTGAGTGCCAGCCCCCGGCACCGGGGTCCCACCAGCCTTCCTGAGTCACACCACAACGACCATGGGTGGAAAACCCTCTCTGATATTTCAAACAAGTGATGAGGGAACCACTTTGGTCCCTCCCTCTGTGGGAGGAAGGCTGAAGCTCACAGCAGCAATTCCTGGGCTGCAGCCAGTGAAAAGGCATCGAAGAAACCAAGGGGAAAAGCTGCAATAACAAGGCCCGGGGAGATTTCAAATGCATTTGTAAGCCCAGCAGACAGCAAATGAACAAATTAGATTGCACCTTTACTCAGCTGCTGGTTTGGAAATGGTAGGTGACATTTCTGAGCAATTAGGAGCTCCCCACGGCAGAGGCCGGCACTCGGCATGATGAACATGTGTTAATGACCATCTTACCGTATCTCGTGTTGAACAAAATTTCAACTTGTTTCCTCAAATGACTTAAAACATCCCCTATACCATCTGCAAAACAAAAAAAAAAAAAAGAGAGAAATGCTCTGATAAACTAGCTGCCTCCAGGGCAAGCAACACACCGCGCAGGCAAGCAGCCCCTGACCCCCGGCAGAGCCAGCTGCACGCTCTTCATGCCTCCCAGATCAGTGCTGGTCCTCCAGCAGCTGCCTCTGAGCTCATCCCCAAGCGAGGAAGAGCAACGATGCACCTGCCACAGAGCTGGGCTAGCAACAAGGAGGAAAAAAAATAGGGGCAAAAGTAAATCCAGGCAAAAGAGGGGAAGACAGAGCCCGGGAACACGGCAGTGACCTTCTGCGCTGAGCTTTTCAGAGGCTGAATGCTTTGCTGATAAGGTAGGAAGCCCACAAAACCCAACCTGAAATACTTCTGTGTTCATCCGTCCTTCAAAACACTTGCAATCATGGGCAATGCTCAGAATGCATCGTACGCTCACCTGATCCTTCCAGCTGCTTTTCTTCATGTCGCGACTCCTCGCTGGGCCCCTTCTCAGTCCCTGCTGAGGAAGAGGAGGGTTAGTGGTGGCCAACACCAGCAAAATCAGGCCAGACATGAGTAGGAGTTCTCAGGGTCCCCTGCAGTCACCCAGCTGCCCCCTCCCCTCACTAAGCTCTGAGCATGCATCCCGGCACAGGCTGGGGCTGGCAGCGTCGTGCCAGGGCTGCAGAAGGAAACAAACCCATCGCCTGCATCCATGAGGTCTGCCTGCCCTTCGGTGGGGGCTTCCTGGGAGACGCGAGACCCAGCACTCGGCAGGAGCGAGGGCAGCCCCAGGGCCGGCACAAATCCCCCAGGTAAATCCCAGTCATGAGCTGGGCGAGGAGCCAGGGTTTGCAGCACGCTGGGGCTGGAGAGGGGCTGGGAAGGAGCAGCAGTGCCAGAAAAGCCACCAGTTTGTCTATCAGAGCTCCCAGCTGGCCTGACTGGGGCCAGGAGTCTGGAAGCGGCTCCCGACTCCATCACCTTGGCTCATAAATGGTATTTACTCATTTTTGACACACACACACCAACTCCTGTGCCCCCGCACAACCTCCTGAGTGCTTCATTTCTGGTACCTGCTACCGTTTCTAGGATGTAGTTCGGCTCCTCCGAGGCCATGTGCGTGGGCACTGGGTCGTGCATCTCATCTGAACCAGGCGATCGATCTGCAGACAAAACCCCATGGGCAGCATTTGTTTCGATGCTGGGGGACACCGTCCCCAAAACAGGGTTCAGAAGGCCCTGGCTCCCGAAAGGGCCCCCCGCTCCCGAAAGTCCCGCACACCATGGCCCTGCACCAGGAGCTGCTCCAGGGGTGCAGTGGCCGCCTTCTTCCCTGAGACCACCCAGATCTCGTCCCTGAAACACACCCTCAGCCCGAGGGAAAGGAGCATAAGTTTCTTCCTAACCTCCACAGGAGAAGAGCAAAAATAGTTCAAGACTATTTCCTTGGTTTAATTCCATCTAGACACCCAATTTTGGCTTAAAAAGTTAATGCTCCCTGACTTAGCTACTCCACCATGGGAAAACCATTCAACTAATGCTGCCTTCCTCCACAAAATCACACTTCCTTGGGTTTCCCTTACGTAATCTGCATGCCCTCTTCATTTTAACCTGTCTCCCCTAATGCTAGGCTCTCCAACACCCTCAAAGAGCTGTCCAAATTTAGCTTTAAATAGACCTTCAGCTAGTTTAAATACTTCAATCAGGTCACTTTTAATCATCACCTCGCAGGATAAATAATCCAAATTTCATCAATTTCTCCCTGTAGGTGAACACCTCTTTTCTATTAATCCTCCTCCCTGCCCTCAGCTGTACTCCCTCCAATTGAACTCCATCTTCAAATAAGGTAAGAAAAGGTGGACTCTGGACTTGAAGTATGATCTACCCGGCACTGGAGAAGTGATAACACCTCCTCCTCCTCCTCCCATGCACCGCCAGCTCACCACGTATTAGCTTTCTTCCCTTACATTAGCTGCCAAGTTGAAAATTAAAATGTTTGATCTACCGCTATACCTTGTTCCTTCTCCTTCCCCTATATTAACCATACGTTAAGTCCATTCTGTGACAATCCTGGAGTGACTTCCCAAATATCACCGTATCAAGGGGACTGCTACAATTTGGGTGCAACAGAGATCGCACTGGTGCAGCAGGGCTGGGCGTCACTGCTGTCCCCAGCACTGCCTGCCCTTGGGCACGCTGCGAGTCCTGTTGCTGCCCTCATTCTGGTGAGATTATTAATTAATGTTTGTAAAGCACACTGAAAATGCAAAGTGCTAACTATCCTCTCATTAAACGCTGAGGAATGTCCTACCATTTGCTGTGCTGTCCAGGTGAGGTAAGTGGAAAATGACTCTCCCAGCTGCCCCTCAAGCACCCGACCACTCATCTCCATCACCACCCATCGCCACTGACCTCTCTGGGCAGAAACGTGGGGAAATGCATCAGTGCCACTGATTCCAACATGTTTTCAGCACATGCTTAATATTAAACCTATTCTTATGAACTCCTGGTAACCAGGTTGTTTTTCTAAATTAAGGACCTCCTCAAAAGCATCCTGTGCCTGATACCTGGGATCCTCCAAGCTCACGTGTGAAGGAAAGAAGCGAACCAGGCTCGCTTTCTCCAGGGGAAAGGCAAGATGGAAAAGCAATGTAGGAGAGAAACAACAGAGAACCCTAAAACACCCTCCGCTGCCCCCAGGGAACCATCTCATTCCCAATAGGCCCCTTAAAATGACTTTCAGCGAAGGAAGGCCATTGCACGGGTACGGGGGACCTTCCGTGCTGGGAGACACCCTGCAAACGCCTCTTCTCCAAGCAAAATGCCGAGACCTGATGCGGCAGCCCCGCCTGCACAGAGGCCACTGCACGCAGCTGGTAACCCAGTGCCTACCTGGCACAGTGATCTGGATGATGTCCAGCTCGTCCGGCTCAATTTTGATCTGCCTGATCCCACCCAGCTCTCCTGAGGTACCTGGTAGGAAAGGCAACGACAGGCAATCGCCGACAGGAACCAGCCATGCCGCGTCTGCCCGCCAATGTGGGCAGGGAAACCACGGCCGGCTGCAACTTCAGTGCCAGCTGAGCATCCCACAGCAACAAGGCTTTGGCCAAGTGGCCCACTGGCATCAAGCCCATGGCATGGAGGTACTCGAAGGGCACCTGTGGGCATGGCTTCAGCAAACAGCTTGGCTGTCAGGAGGTGTTGGTGCCCTCGTACTGGCCGCTGGCCCTCGCTACAAGCTCGTTTCCTGGCTTTCTTCACTTAAAATGAACTGGGTCGGCCACAAGCGTTGGTGGGGATGCAGGAGGAGCAGTCTCCAGCGGGTGCTCCTGGCATTTTTTTATGCTCCCAAACTCATGCCTGGGACAGGCCCCTCTGCAGACCTGTGCTCTGGGAGGGCTGACCACCCTGCCTCCCACCAGGGCACAACAAGCTGAACCCCAGCAAAATTCAGCGTGGTTTGACCTCTGCCGGATGAGAGCCCGTGCTGGACTGGCCGGCCCGCGGAGGCTGGCCCCGGGGGCTGGTGCCCCCGGGCGGGG